TTCCTGTACTTGGACGTCTTTCTCCAAACCCAGTTAGTTTTCTGCTAGTATCTCACTAAAAAGGCCTTCTAATCCTTTCTCTCTCTCATGCCTTCAGGAACTCCTAGAACCCGAATGCTGGTTTTTTAAATAGCATCCTGTAGATTCCCAACAATATTTCTTAGATTTCTAATTTCCTCTTCTTGTCTTTGGTTTCACTGTATACTATCCTATGCTATGTCTTCTAACTCCAATATTCTCTCTTCTGCCTCACTGATTCTGTTTTTAAGGCTCTCAAATGTGTCTTTTATTTGTTCTATTGAATTCTTCATTTCATTTTGATTTCAATATCTCAATTTCATGGTCTATTAATTTCTCATTTCATTTTGATTCCTCCTTAAGATTTCATTTTCACGAGAGAGATTTTCTGTCATGTCTTGCATGGATTTCAGTAGTTCATGCATTTGTTTTTGATTACTTCTACATATTCTTATCAATTTTTTGAGTTCTATTTCTTACATTTCTTTTACCTCATCATCTTCATAATCTTGTATTGAAGTGTCATGTTCTTTTGGGAGTGTCATGTTGTCTTCCTTATTCTTGTTTCCTCAGTTGTTGCATTTGTTGTTCGGCATTTGTGGGGATACTCGTTGGTTTCTTCTTTTTTTTTTTTTCTACTGTGGCAGCTTTTATCGTTGTACTACACTCTGTAGGTAAGTGGACTGTCTGCTCTCAGTGAATCTCTGGAGGCTTGTGGTGAGTGTAGCCAGCGAGCTCTGTTCAGTTCTTCAGGGTTAAGGGTGTGGCTAAGGTGACACCCAGATTTGGCGTGCTAACTCCCTCTCCCCCTCTCTTTTTAATCAGAAGGGAGGTAATTCTGCCCAGCTGAGCTCTTCTCCTTGATGGCGATCAGTGCCTGAGTGCTAGCCCCAGTGGGTATATTTCTCTGCTCTGTCCCAAGGACCACACAAAGGATCTGTGCAGTCCTCAGTGTAAGTCAGATTCCACAGCAATGTCTCTCACCGGCTAGCCAGTGCTGCCCCAGCTTGTGGCAACTCCAACCGAGACTACTCAAAGTCTCACACTCACTGTGAGTTCTCCACACACCCTCAGCTTTTTTTTTTTTCACAGTCCCATTTCAGAAGCTCCACACAGTCACTAGGTCTTAGTCTCCTGTTATTACTCCCCACGAGAGTCAGGTTTTTCTGCTCAGCTGATTGCCGGGCACAGCCTAGAACTGGGGCAGCTGTTACATATGTCTAAAATGGTGCCCACTCTACGGGCTCATACACCTTTGTAAGGTGATTGGAGAAAGTATCTGTATCTGTACCAATCATATCTGTACCATCCCTTTTATTTTTTCTCTCATTAGTTAGGGTGGTGTACTTTCCCCCATGGGGTCTTCAGCCTCATTCCCTCTAGGCTCTTCCTGCCACTTTTCCACCAGTGTCTCAGGCTACTGCAGTCTCATCTCAACTCACTTTCCAGCGCTGGTGAAGATGCTCTCAGCTGCTGGGCACCCGTGTCATCCACGTAGGTCCACTGTGTCCCCCTAATTATGAGTTTCCTCTGCTGTTTTTTTTTTTCCCTAACTCTTCCCTGAAACTACACTATCTCCACTTTTATTAAACTATCTACTCCTGGACTCCCTCCCTATTCTGCCATCTTGGAACCTCCTGGTCCTTGATATAATCATATATTCAGAGAGTCACTTTCTTCTCACTTTTGTTATCAGGAAATATAGTTCTAGAGCCTCATCTGGGAGCTAGTAGTAATTGTGATAAGAATGGAATATTAGATGTATAAATTTTAAGTAACTAAACCTCTGGACAAGTTATTCTTATAGCCAATCAATCTTTTTTTTTTTTTTTTGGACAGGCAGAGTTAGACAGTGAGCAAGAGAGACAGAGAGAAAGGTCTTCCTTTCTGTTGGTTTTCCCCTCAAATGGCCACTATGGCCAGTGCGCTGTGGCCGGAGCACTGCACCAATCCGAAGCCGGGAGCCAGGTGCTTCCTCCTGGTCTCCCATGTGGGCGCAGGGCCCAAGCACTTGGGCCATCTTCCACTGCCCTCCCGGGCCACAGCAGAGAGCTTGGACTGGAAGAGGAGCAACCGGGACAGAATCTGGCACCCCAACCGGGACTAGAACCCGGGGTACTGGCGCCACAGGTGGCAGATTAGCCACGTGAGCTGCAGCGCCAGCCATAACCATTCTTTACCATGTAAAGAAGGGAATCATATGTATTGGTGGGACCGGTTATTCTAATATTGAGAATTACTATGACATTCAGAGACCTAGTCATCTTACTGCCAGTAACTTTAGAACATTTTAAATCAATTTGGCTTTTATAAAAGACAGATTTATTTATTTATTTGAAAGTCATGGAACAGAGATTTAGAGAGAGAATGATTCATTCCCCAAATACAAAATGGCTCTAGCAGCTAGATCTGGGGGAGGCCAAAGCCAGGAGCCAGGAACTCTATCCTCTTCTCCCACCTGAGTGTTAGAGGCTGTTCCATGTTTAATTTATATTTATAAAAAATGAAAGATAAAAAATCCACAAAACCAGAAAGGCTTCAATATCCAAATAACAAAAGACCAACGTCTAAAAATGTTGAATCTTCTCTTTTTGATTCTATCTGGGTAATTGTTTTAAATTTCTTTTAAAAACTATATTTGCTTTTATCAGGTAAAAAGTATGTGGGAAATTGTAGTATCTCTCTTTCAATATTTTGTATGCCTGCTCTTAGGATTGATTAGGCCAGTTTCTCAAATTGAGTCTCAAACTAGAATGCCCTTGAGGACAGACACTTCCATAGAGCTCCTTTGACCTAACTAATTCTACATTTGTATTGTTTAATTTTGATATGTAACCAGAGTCCTAATCAGAGTCCACAGCAAAGAATGTAGTTTTAATATTGGAGTTTGCTGTTACACTTGTGTGCACTCAATGGTTTTTTTCTCACAGTGTTGAGTGTAGTAATTGTCAAGTATTCAGACATTTTCATTGCTAATAACATGCCACAGCATGATTCTTCATCCTAGTAATGGTGGGTATTTAGGTTGTTTCCAGGTTTTGTCCCCTGGACACAATGTGGCCATTGGTCTTCATTGTTTGGGCATAGGAGCAGGCATGTCTATAGATTGCACCAGGACTGGAGTTCTGGGTTCCTGGGTTAGAGCAGTGCAAGCATTTTTGTTAGGGTTAAAAATGTGTAAAGCCAGATATGCATTCTAGGCAATGATAATGAAAAAAAACTGAAATAAATTGCAATAATGTGATGGATTAATAGATTCAGGGTTCAGTGACAAGGACATTATCAGTGTGGTGTCTAAACACATCCTGCACATCTCATGCAATCTTGTGGTCTTCACACATCTCTTCAGGAAAGAACTGGCTGGCACAGTTGGCTTCCAGCTAGCAGAGGGATCCAACCACTCCATCTGTATGTGCATTTCACAGGGACATTCTTGTGCTTTGGGCCCTCTAAAACCAGAAGACAAGAGTCTGTGGAGAATTGGGGTGGGAGGGTAGAGTCCTCAGGCACTGGGACTTGGAGAGTATCAGTAAAAATGCAGAGTCTGCAGCACCAGGGGAAGACAGCAGGGCTGCATGGCTATTTTGTGGAAAGAAAGAAGGCTGAGGGATGGAGACCAGAGTGAGGGGTGATCACAGATTTGAATGAGATGGAGGTCAGAAAGAAGGACAGACATTTTTGCCCAAGGAGGAAAATATTTGATATTTACCTCACCATCCTTATCCCTCCCCAATTTCCATATCCTATCTCTCTATCCTCTTTCTGCTTCCCCCCTGGCTCATCAGATCAGAGAGGGGGTGGCATGATCCAAGTGTGTGTGTGGACTCTTATATGAATAGGTGCAAATACTAACCTCTAAAGTCTTAGTATTAGGAGTGGCATCTTTTGAGAGTTCATCAAATCATCAGGGCAGAGCCCTCATGAATATCATTAGTTCTCTTAAAATGTAGGCTGCCAGGAGCTACCTTGACCTGCTATCATGTGAGGATATACACCGAAGAAACCATTTATACCAGGAAAGGAGCCCTCATCAAATACCACAGACCTCCCAGCATGCAGAACTACGAGAAGTAAGTTTCTGTATCTCATAAGCTAAGTAGAGTGTGGTATTTTGTTATAGCAGCTGTAATATGCTGAGAGATTGACACAGGCATCTAAACAGTAGCTCACATGTATGTGTTAGCTCACTCTAATGTCAAAGGAAAAGTGTTTCTCTATTAAAAAAAGATAAGATAATAACAAACTCCCAATATTTTAAGTAGAGCACACTCTTGGGGAGAATTTATAATATCACACAAATAGTGAAATAAGAATATATCCATATTCACCAAAAGCAATCTTGTTAGTAATGGATTGATTGTAATACTTTTATTTTATTTTATTTTATTTTTTTTGACAGGCAGAGTTAGACAGTAAGAGAGAGAGACAGAGAGAAAGGTCTTCCTTTCCATCGGTTCAGCCCTCAAATGGCTGCCATGGCTGGCATGCTGCGCCAATCCAAAGCAAGGAGCCAGGTGCTTCCTCCTGGTCTTCCATGTGGGTACAGGGCCCAAGCACTTGAGCCATCCTCCACTGCCCTTCCAGGCCAAAGCAGAGAGCTTGGACTGGAAGAAGAGCAAGCAGGACAGAATCCAGTGCCCTGACCAGGACTAGAACCTGGCGTGCTGGTGCTGCAGGCGGAGTATTAGCCTAGTGAGCCACGCTGCTGGCGACTGTAATACTTAATTTAAATAATTACCAGGACCACAATGATAGCAAACAAAACAAAATATTTATTGGTATGGAATAATAGAAGGGATGTTCATTTATACTACAGAAATTCAATAAATATTAGTATATAGAAATAATAAAATAGAAGATTTCCAATGTACACAAATGAATATAAGTACCAATCCAGGCAGAGATGAGTAATTGGTGGCAAAATCTCTGCAGAAAGAGCAATAGAGAATAGAGTATCTATACATTCTTCAATTGCCAGTCTCTATGGTTTTTGATAATATAAGAGTAAAGTATCTTTTGGATACATATAAAAATGACTGTAGAACTTGATATCCAATCCTAGTGTGACCGTAATGTTGATGGACAAACTGTCCATGCTTTGCCTCCAGATGTGAAGTAACAGGGAGTACTGTTTGGGAGTAATGTTTAGGGCCAAGTGAATCATGAGGAAATTGTCAAATTCTTGAGGCTAGAAACTGACATGCCCTCCAAAACAAGGTAATGTCACCATTGTCAGTGACAACAAGGCGAGGAGATGCTCTTGTTTCCACAGGACTAAAGGAATACAGTAACGTACTCTTTAAGCCTTAAGCAAAAAATACTGCTTCTTTTTGTTGTCATTGACAATTTCTGTCAAAGCCACATCCGTTGGTCAATGCTCAGCATTCTGTAGTTCTCTGACAAATGCTTCTTCATTCAATTCAGGCTGAACAGCAAAAACTCTGTTTCTAGCTGGAGGCAACACTTGTCTGACTTAGCGTGTTACTCACTCCTGGATGTTGCCAGATCTTGTTCCTTATGTGGTGAGAATTGAGAGGTGCCCAAGTTAAGGTCTCAGGCCTAGGTGTCCTTAGGTGGTAACAATAATATGAGACTGAAACAATGTCTTCCATCCTGATGGAGAACAAATCTTGAGTGGATAGGGTAGGACATGACTGGATTTTCTATCAAGATGTTGCTCATTAATGAGGAAAGCTACTTTTACTTGCACCCTTTCATTGTAGCCAGTGCAGGTCCCTGTAGCTCCAGCAGTTCCTGATATCTGAGAGGGAGACAGAGAGAGAGAAATTCAATAAGAGGTCAGGTCTTGCTGATAGCTGAGTCTGGAGGGACTGCCCAGTAGTCACAGAAGCCAGAGACAGAGAAACATGTGGAGAAGATGAGCTTCAGGTTGACTGAAGTGGGAAAATGATACCTACAAGGTAGAATGCCTCCCTAAACTTAGAGTCCAGCCTGTGATGCAGAATATGGGAGTCCTGCACACTTCTTTTTTTTTATGGACAGGCAGAATTGGACAGTGAGAGAGAGAGAGAGAGACAGAGAGAAAGGTCTTCCTTCTATTGATTCATTCTCCAAATGGCTGCTATGACCGGCGCGCTACACTGATCCGAAGCTAGGAGCCAGGTGCTCCCCCCTCCATGCCCACCCTGGTCTCCCATGGGGTGCAGGGCCCAAGCACTTGGGCCATCCTCCACTGCCTTCCCGGGCCACAGCAGATAGCTAGACTGGAAGAGGAGCAACTGGGACAGAATCTGGCGCCCCAACCAGGACTAGAAACAGGGGTGCCGGCACTGCAGGTGGAGGATTAGCCAAGTGAGCCACGGCGCTGGCCTAGTCCTGCACTCTTCTAACTAGAAGCTGGTGATAACACCCATTTTCCTCCTAATCCTTCTCCATGGTCTTGCCAATGTCTTTTCCTATCTCTTAAGGATAGATGTTCCTAGCACCAATCATGCACATTCAGAAAGACAGTTGAAAGTGAAGGGACCTCCTTCAGTAAATTCAACTATTATAATTCTGTGTTTCAGAGGGAAGAATAGGTGACTATGGGAATAGAGTAGATGTGTGAGCCAACGGTAATCTCAGAAACATCCAAGGCCAGTCTGTCCTTTAACAAAAGAGATGTAACTAAAGACATAAGAATTGTTCTTAATCCTTGTCTCCCGCTCTTTTTTAGAAATCTGAAGAATGGAGAGGAGAAAATCCAATCTGGAGGCTTCAATAGTCATAAGAGGCTGTTGAGTCACCTTGAGTACATAGACATAGGAATAAGGCCTTAGAGAGAAATCTGGCAAGTCTTTTGTCCAGGAGAAAAAGGAATAAAATCATACTCCAAGGGAGTTAACCAAGAGGACAGGAAATTGAACGTTGGCCTTTCCCTGTCCATTGAAGACAGAATCCAGGGTACTGGGTCAAAGCATCCAAGCTAGTTCAAAGTGTACCCAGAGTTTACTAAAAGCACAGCGTCATTTAGAACTGCTCAGCAGTCCTCACCTACTTTATCCCATTCCTTTCCTTTCCTTCCATCTATTAAACATGAACTTCATCCCCCCTGGCCTTCAAGTTTTTCATCTTCCCTCTGACAGACTGAGGGAGGTCACTCTCCTTCTCACTTTACTTGCCCAAGGCAAGGAGGCTCGTTCTCAATTAGAATCACTGGAGCAAAGATTGGCCTGGGCCTTGCTTATCTTCTTGGATCTTCATGGGTTTTCCCCGAGTTAACTCACTACAATGAGCTGCTCTATTTTGTGGTCTCATGTTCAATAACTAACTCATTCTCTTTTTTATTTTAATTTATTCAAGGTGTATACGTTTCATATATACAGATTTAGGAACATGGTGAGACTTCCCATCCTACCCTTCCCCCTGCCCACACTCCTATACTTCCTCCTCCTTCCTCTCTTATTCACTCTCTCAAGATTTACAATTATCTACTTTCAGTTTACTTTATACTCATAAAATTAATCCTATACTATGTAAGAGTTCAACAAACAGTAAGAAGAAGAAGAAAAAAAAACAATGTTCCTTAACAATAGAGACAAGGGCTATAAACAACCATCAGATCACAAAATGTCAAATATCTCATTTTCGAGATTTTTACCTGAATATTTGAAATTGGCATTGAGTGATAAAAAAAGATAGAAGTTGGTGGAAGTTCCAAGATGATGGAATAGGGAAGGAGCTCACTGAAAGTCCAGGAAAATACAGTTTATTAAAAGTGGAGATAGTGTAGTCTTAGGGAACAGATAGGGAAAAAACAGTAGAGGAAAGTCTTCTGGAATTAGAGTCCGTGGAGGGCACGGAATCCCACGGTTCAGGACCCCAGCTGCTGTCTCTGCACCAGCGCTGGAAAGAGAGGTGAGACAAAACCACAGTAGCCCGAGACACTGGTGGAAAAGCAGCAGGAAGAACCTAGAGGGAACAAGGCTTGTAGCCCCATGGGGGAAAGTACACAAGCCTAACTAGAAGAGAGAAAAAAATAAAAGGGATGGTATGGACACGATTCACTCTCCACACACCTTACAAAAGCGAGTGAGACAATACAGCAGGTGCCATTTTGGACATACATAACAGTTGTACCAGCTTGGGGCTGTGCCCACCCAAGCGGAAAAACCTGACTCTGGTGGGGAGTAATAACAAGAGACTAAGACCTAGTGAATGTGTGGAACTTATGAACCGGGACTGTGAAAAAAAAAAAAACCCACAATGGAGGGTGTGTGGGGTGTGTGGGAGAACTCATGGTTTGGCTGAGATGTGAGTAGTCTCCTTGGGAGATGCCACAAGCTCGGGCGGCCCTGGCTACCCAGTGAGAGACATTGCAGGGGATTCTAAGCTTACACTGAGGACTGCACAGATCTTTTGTGTGGTTCTTGGGACAGAGCAGATGAATATTGTATCCACTGGGGATAGCGCTCAGGCACTGATCGCCATCGAGGAGAAGTGTTCAGCTGATTACTTCCCTTCTCATTAAAAAGAGAGAGAGAGAGAAAGAGAGAGAGAGACAAAGAAAGATGTGGGGGAAAGGGAGATTGATTTACCACGCCAAACCTGGGTGTGTCACCTTAAGCACACCCTTAACCCTGAAGAACTGAACAGAGCTCTCTGGCCACACCAACCACAGACAGTCCACTTAATCTAGAGTCATAGTATAACAAGAAAAGCCACCATAGTGAAAAAAAAAGAAGAAACCAAAGCATATTTCCACAATGCCAAACAACAACGGAAAAATCGAGGAAACAAGAAAAAGGAAGAAAACATGATGCTCCCAAAAGAAAATGACACTCCAATACAAGATTAAGAAGATGATGAGATGGAAGAAATGCAAGAAATGGAACAAAAAATTTATGGTAAGAATATTTAGATGTAATCTAAAACAAATGCATGAACTGCTGAAATCCATGAAGGACAAGACAGAAAATTTCTCTTGTGAAAATGAAATCTTGAAGAATCAAAATGAAATGAGGAATTTAATAGAACATGAAAATGAGAGATTGAAGAGAAATTGAAATGAAATGAAGAATTCAATAGAACAAATTAAAAACCCAAGTACTGAGAGAATCTGCCAACCCAGATATTATATCCTGCAAAGCTCTCATTTGTGAATGAAGGTGAAATAAAGAACTTTCACAGCAAACAGAAATTGAAAGAATGTGTCACCACTTGTCCAGCCCTGCAAAAGATGCTTAAAGATGTGTTACACACAGAAACACAGAAACACGGTCATCAATACGAAAGAAGGTAAAGGAAGAAAATTTCTCAGTAAAAGATCACAGAAAGTCAAAGTATATATTAGAAATATCTTTGGGAAAATGGCAGGGCAAAGTCACTACTTATCAATAGTCACACTGAACGTTAATGGCCTCAACTCCCCAGTTAAAAGACACAGACTGGCTGAATGGATTAAAAAAGAAAACCCATCTATTTGCTGCTTACAAGAAACACATCTTTCCAACAAAAGTGCATGCAGACTGAAAGTGAAAGGTTGGAAAAAGATATTCCACGCCAACAGAAACCAAAAAAGGGCTGGTGTAGCCATCTTAATATCAGACAAAATAAACTGTAACACAAAAACTGTTAAGAGAGACAAAGAGGGGCACTACATAATGATTAAGGCATCAATTCCACAGGGAGATGTAACTATTATAAACTTATATGCACCTAATTACAGGGCACTGGGTTATTTAAAAGATATGTTAAGGAACTTAAAGGGAGACTTAGGCTCCAATACAATAGAATTGGGGGACTTCAATACTCCACTTTCAGTAATGGACAGATCAACCAGACAGAAAAATCAACAAGGAAACAGCAGATTGAATCGACACTACAGACCAAATGGATTTAACAGATATCTACAGAACCTTTAATCCTATACTTGCAGAATGTACATTCTTCTCAGCAGTGCATGGAACGTTCTCTAGGATTGAGCACATACGAGGCCATAAAACAAGTCTCAGCAAATTCAAAAGAATCCAAGTCATACAACGCATCTTCTCAGATCACAATGGAATGAAGGTGGAAATTAGCAACTCGGGAATTCCTAGAGCATATGCAAATGCATGGAGACTGAACAACATGCTCCTGAATGAACAGTGGGTCATAGAAGAAATCAAAAGGGAAATCAAAAACTTTCTGGAAGCAAATGAAGGTAACAACACAACATATCAAAACTTATGGGATACAGCAAAAAAGTGTTAAGAGGAAAGTCTATAGCAATAGGTGCCTACATCAAGAAATTAGAAAGGCACCAAACAAATGAGCTATCAATGCATCTCAAGGATCTAGAAAAACTGCAGCAAACCAGACCCAAAACTAGTAGGAGAAGTCAGAATGTCTAAGCTTGTCTTGCTCTACACATTTTTTGAAGCCCTGTGCTTATGTCTAATTTAGAAAATAATATTTTGTGTGAATATTAGAGGGTTGTCTTTTTTAAAGCATTCATTTATTTATTTGAAAGACAAAGTGACAGAAGGAAAGACAAAGAGTGAAAGAATAGAAACAGAGGGAGAAAGAACTTAAATATACTGATTCACTAGTTAGGAGTGCAGAACTAGGGGGCAGGGACCCAAATATGTGGGTCATCATCCATGTCTTTCCCAGAACCATTACTATGAAGCTAGATTGCAAGTACAGTAGCCAGGGTTTGAGGCAGCACACCAATACGGATGCAGGCATCCCAAGCCGTGGCTTGACTGCATGTGCCATAACACCCTCCCTTAAGTTTACCTTTTGACCAATGTCTCTTTATTGTACCATCTAATGAAGTCTGCCTCATTGTAGCTTGAGTGTGTCCCTGAAGTGTGGCTACTGGGTCATGGTAATCCCTTGAACACTGGATCTGAAGGCAAACTTGACTCTAGGTCTGTGAGTGGGATAATGAGGACAGCAGCTATGGGGAAAGAGCAGAGCTTGGAGTACAGCCAAGGAGATGCAAATGACAGTGACTGGTTGGCAATTCATGTGTAATGATAGGAGGATTTAGGCAGGGACAGGCATGCTCTGGAAGCTGGTGAATTTCCCTTCTCCCCCACTTATGATGCTTCCCATTTTGCATGCTTACCAGGCCTCTACCAATCATGTGCCTTCAGTGCTCAAAAAATGCATGGAATGGCTGGACCCCTCCTACCACAGCCCCTTCCCAGGCAGATCACAGCCCAGTGACTCCCACACCCATGTCCTGGTGGCCACACCAGTGACACAGATGAAACTGAAGTTAGGGTACCTATTAGAGACCCATGATTACACTCCCCTACTGGACATCTAGCTCTGCAGCTTTCTCCCACCTCCCTTTGTTCTCTCACTGGCCTAATAAAATACTACGACTTTGCATCTTGGACTCTTTCCCTATCTCTATATTGAAAGAAATCAAGAACCAGGGCACATTCCCCTGCCATTACAAATGGAAAATAGAAGGAAGACTAGACAGAAGTTACTGCAGATGATGGAGAGAACAAATCAGGGAAAGAAAAAATTGGGGGGAGGGAAATGAGGTAAAGCACTCATATATAGAGAGAGCAATACAGAATAAATGCATCTAAGAATAACAGTTGTGATTACCTCTGCACCTCAAGTCGAAATCCAGGGATACGGTATGATAATCTCCATTTGCTAAAATGGCATTTTCTTTGGATCATCTCTTTTCTTAGGACATCGGAGCCCACAGGGTGGACACTGACTTGGCTTGCATGGCTGCTGGTAGCTGACCCCTCAGTGGTATTATCCTGCTTGGGATTGCTCGCAAGATAGCCATCAGTAACAGGCACTGCAAATGAAACCACAGGCAACAATATCCACTGTTATATGACCTTATTCTTTTGTTTTCTTTTTGACAGGCAGAGTTAGGCAGTGAGAGAGAGAGAGAGAGAGAGAGAGAGAGAGAGAGAGAGAGAGAAAGAAAGGTCTTCCTTCCATTGGTTCACCCCTAGTGCACTGTGCCAATCTGAAGCCAGGAGCCAGGTGCTTCCTTCTGGTCTCCCAAGCGGGTGCAGGGCCCAAGCACTTGGGCTGTTCTCCACTGCCTTCCTGGGCCACAGCAGAGAGCTGGACTGGAAGAGGAGCAAACGGGACAGAATCCAGTGCCCAATCCGGAACTAAAATCTGGGGTGCTGGCGCCGCAGGTGGAGGATTAGTCTAGTGAGCCGCAGCGCCAGCCAATATGACCTTATTCTGACACACACTTCCACCAAGGTGGACACTGGATAAGCAAAGTGACCTTGGACAAGAAAGTCCAAGGGGCAAGGGAAGCCAATAGAAATGCTTTTGCATTTTCTTATCATTGGCCTGCCTTAGAAATGATTTCAGGATAAGATTGCCAATAGGCAAACCTACTGCTATTTGACAAAAAAAATTAAGAAAATTGGAGCAAATGAAAACAAATAGTTCTCAGATTCATAGGACAAAAGCAAGGGCTAATCATACTAGACAGAGGTTGTGCTACTAGGAATGGAGATGTCACCTAAAAATCGAGTTATATAAAAGTCATAGGAAAACCCACAAGAGCAAAATTATAAGGAAAATTGGAGAAGATGAAAAACATGTATCATTATACACTTCATATGAGCATATTATATGTAACATTACTGAAAATAATATGATATATATCATGGAATTCAGGAACATACAAGGACAAATATATTTTGGAGTGTTCTTTAGAAAGTTTATGGAAATGCATATTATGACCACACAATGCAAGGATTTCAAAAAGTTTCTGTGACATACAGAACTCATGTTTAATTCCATTTTCCATGAACATCTTTTTAAACATTTATTTTCTTTTTCTTTTTAAAAAAGATGTATTTATTTATTTATTTTTATTTGAGAGGGAGAGTTACAGACAGAGGGAGAGACAGAGAAAGGTCTTCCTTCCATTGGTTCACTCCTCAGATGGCAGCAATGGTTGGAGATTTGCCTGTCTAAAGCCAGGAGCCAGATGGTTGCTCCCAGTTTATCATGTGGGAGCAGGGGCCCAAGCACTTGGACCATCTTGCTTTACCAAGCCATAGCAGAGAGCTGGATTGGAAAAGGGGCAGATGGGACTAGAACCAGCATCCATATGGGATGCTGGCACTGCAGGTGGAGGATTAAACAACTACGCCACAAGACTGGCCCCATTTATTTTCATTTCAATGAAAATCCAAGAGTGACAGTTACACAGAATGTCAGAGTGAGAGGGAGGAATCAACCATGTACTTTTTCACTCCCCAAATATCTGCAACAGCTGAGAATGGGCTAGGCCAAACCTAGGAGCCAGGAACATTATCTCAGCCTCCCACATCAAGGGCAGGCACCCAACTAACTGAGTCATCACAGGCTGCCTCCCAGGGTACACAGTAGCAAGGAGCTGGATCAGAGACAGAAGACAAATTTGTACCTAGGTACACTGACAAAGAATATGGACAGCCCAAAGGGGTAGTTATCCACTATGCCACAACACCCATGGCATTCCATGAACATCCTGAAGCACTCTCAGTGTCATGTGTGTGTGTACATACTATATCAAAAAATGACCTTAACTGGGGTTTTGGAAATTTGGGCTCCTGCATTCTGACAGCTTTCACAATAGGTTGGAAATAAAAAAAAAGATTTAGGAAGAGTGAGAGAAATATATGTTGTCAGTAACACAACCTGCTATGCACCAGATAGAAAGCACAGTATGGTTGGTGTCAAAATCTGCAAAGCCCTTTCAAAGCACCCTAGACTGCAAAGTCTTGCCTTGAACCTACCATTGCTCAGCCAATTATCCCTTGAATGTGAACAGGAAGAGAGTGACCTTGAGTGTGAACAGGAAGAGAGTGACTGAGCCACTGGGTGAGCTGTGCTGGTACTGTGAGAATCCAAGGAGAAGTAAAAGATCAGGGGAAGAAAAGAGGAGTTGGGAGGGACAAGGTATCATGGCACATGTGGCAGAGAGTATGTATGCCTGCCTCTCACTGAGCACTGGCCAGGAGCCCTCTCCCAAAGAGTCAACTGGTGGTCACTGTCACATGAGACATATTCCTCCTCCTGAGCACACCAGTCCCCTCCTTTCTAGAAGGTAGGCTGCAGCAGACATAAGCCACAGGCAACCATAGAGGCAGGGAAAAGGATGGACAGGATCCAGGTAGGATGGGCAGGAGGGTCCAAGGCTCAGTTGTAAGGAAATCTGAGCAGAAGTGGATCACTGTGGGCAAGAAACTGGGACATGCTATGGAGATGAGCGGAGCTGATAAATTCCAGAAGAGTCAGAAATGAGCCTGATCACTTCATGTATGAAGGCTCCTGTTCATTTAAAAAAGAGAGGGGACCAGAAAATAAGTTGAATTAATCAGGAAACCAAGATGAGGGCCTAGAATGTACACTGACAAGAATATGGCTCTCACCTTGTGGCTGAAAGTGTCTGACAGAGGAAAATTGGCTTAGAAGGGAATGTTGAGGAAGCAAGAATGAAAGGAGAAAGAGAAAGAAGGAAAGAGAGAGAGTGAGAGTGAGAGAAAGAGAGAGAGAGAAAGGAAAGAAGGGAGGGAGGGAAGGAAGATAGAAGGGAGAAAAAAGAGCAACAGAGGGAGAAAGGAAAAATAAATAGAAAAGGGAAGGGAGGGAGGGAGGGAAAGTAAGTCAGTCACTTGTCTTATCAAAGACAGTCCCTGGGAAGTTACACTACAAACATGGTTGATTTGCACATGGAACAAAAGTACAAGATCACTTTGTTAGTCTTCAACTATATGCAAATTAAACGAGTCACTAAACACCTAAAGAGGATACTGAGCTATTCTTAGCCAGTCACTCTGGAAATTATGGTGCTTAATAATAGCACAGTCTGAAATGGGGGATGAGATATAAATGCCAGTGATAAGTAACTTGGCCAAGTTCAACATAAAATATTTGGGAAGCCGATGACCTGGAGGCAGAGCGGATGCTTAAAATCAGGCATTGGCTCACTTTACCATGTTACAGCACTGCAGACTTCAACTTGACCCTCAGAGAACACGACGGGGTCTGAATTGTCTCCTTCACCCATACACAGTGAAAATCCATGTATCAATGGAAGCTTCCTGTGCCCTTTTCTTTCTTACCTTTGTGGAGCAACAACTGGTTTCTTGAATCGATGTTTTCTGCAAAGCTGCAGGTGCTGGAGGAATCACTATGCCTGGCCTCATTGCTACCAGAGGCTAATTGCGGATCCACTGGGACTTGAAGACAGGTGTATCCCTGTAGTCTCACCCACAACTCTGCATGTGAGACTGGCACCTTCGACAGGTGACAACCTAGTATTCCATTCAAGTGTTTCTGAGGACAAGCCTTCAATGTGCCACCTGAAAGGAGAGGAGGGATTTAAGTACAGACATGAGAGTAAATACTGGGTGATGTGTACATGAATTTGGACAAACAGGAAGCAATGGCTGCAGACTAAATGATGATGGTGCCTTAACTCTATCGTACAACTCCCTGAACACAATGTGCCTTAGGCTCGGTGTGCAAAACTACACTGAATGGCAAGGGGAGAACTGTGTAGGGTACATGTCCTGTTTTCACACAGGGAGATCATTATGAACTTGGCCAAATTTCCTTGGGAATACTTACTAGCAGAAACAAACAGGCAGAAGTGTGGCACCTGCACACGACCCCAGTCACTGCCAGCAGTGCGGCAGGTGCAATCCACAAGTGATGGCATGGTTAAAGATGGATATGGACACGCCACTGGGCTGAGCAGGAACTCAGGCTGTTCTGGTTTGGGCAGCTTCAGACAGACCCTGGAGGTGCGGAAGGGAATAAGAAATTAACAAAAGGAGCAATCTTCCCACGACCTTCCTGGCTTAAACAGCAGGGCAAAGGTTCTGTCACCAAAGGAAAGGGAGCCCATCCAGTGGCTCACTGCTTGATCAAGCTGAAGCCTCACAGTGGGAGTGCAGACAGAGCCCGAGACTGAGGGACAGGGGCAGTGAGCTACTCAGGAAAAAAGCTGTGCCACCCACCATTGGCACCCTCTCCACTGATACTAATGAGCCAAACAGAACCTACTACTGGTCATGTGAGAAACCAATGAAGGCATGAAGTGTGCAGGCTTCAGTCACAAAGATGCACCTGCTGAGGAGGTGCTTTAGCACCCCAGGTTTCTCACCCCAGCCTGTTGCCCACCATCTGACGAGGTCAGGTCCCATCTCATTTTGTGTTATCAGTGGAAGGCAAAAATACACATGGGCAACAAGCTGAGGGCAGAAAGGGATCACCCTGCCTTGAGTGTGGCAGGGCAGTGGCCAGGACTGACCAAACTCCCTGAGTAGGCTGGTTGACCTGCGCTTGCCCTGTAGTTAATCCAAGGGAGAGAGTGGGGAAAACAATGGAAACTTGCAGGTCGCTCACATGATAAGGAATAACTTTGTTCCTACAAACATTCGGCTATGGGCTTAGGGGTTATGGTGAGTCACCCCAACACATGCTGTTTTCTCCCTGGAGTTAGATTCCCCAAGTGTTGAAACAAAGTAAGCAGTAACAGAAGTTGGAGACTTACTTGGGTTTGTTAGGACCAAGATAACCTGCTACCTTCTCTTCATACATCTGGTACACTACAAATAAAAATCAGACAGTAAAAGGCACATTAAGATCCCAGTACAAGTAACTGTGTCACACAGTGTCTGACTGGAATGCTACAGGTAAATTTACATGCATTGGGAGAGTGAGTGTCTGATTCAGGAATATCAAGGGAGGCAAAAAAAGGTAAGTCTTTTTGTTTGTTTGTTTTTGACAGGCAGAGTGGACAGTGAGAGAGAGAGACAGAGAGAAAGGTCTTCCTTTTCCGTTGGTTCACCCCCCAATGGCTGTTGCGGCCGGTGTAGAAGCTGTGTAGAAGCTGTTTACTCCTCACCCACCGCCATATTGTGGGAGAGCAGATGCATAGAATAAGTCTTAATTCCAGTAACTTAGTCTAGTCCGGGTTGCTCCCAGTTGCTCCCCACAGGTGTGAAGCATATTCATGTTCACTGCGGTGTCCGGGTCAGGCCTGCCTCTGGGGTGTGGGTCACACTGTTTGGCCCCGCCTGACACGCAGCCTGCCAGGTCCCGCGGGGCACGTCGTTGCGGCCCCAGAGGCTATTCCAGGGCTTCCCAGAATGCTGTGGTCGCTGGGAGAGGCGTCGAGGCCGGCGACTCAGGCCTCCCCCCGGCACACGGAACACCCAGGGCACGCAGAGCGTTCCAGAGCGCTCTGGCGCTCGGCGCTCCGCCAGCTGATGCGAAAGCCAGGGACCACTTGTCTGCTTGCCACAGCTGGGAGCTGCGGCTTTCAGGGGCTGTCTGCGGGTTGGGAAGGAAGCAGGCTGAAGGCTGCTGGCGTGGCCCCCTCTTCCTAGCCAGCCTGAAGCGCGCAGGCTTGCGGGCGCTGGCCCTGCCCTGGAATAGCCTCTGGGGCCGCAACGACGTGCCCCGCGGGACCTGGCAAGCTGCGTGTCAGGCGGGGCCAAACAGTGTGACCCACACCCCAGAGGCAGGCCCGACCCGGACACCGCAGTGAACGTGGATATGCTTCACACCCACCACCCATGGGGTCTCACAAGACCTGGGCCCTGTGTGCCGGCCCCCCCCTCCACCCGCCCCCCCGCTTCAGGCGGCCCTGTGCCCCGGGACTCAGCCTCGCGGCTGGCTCCGCGAAGGAAGACTGGCGCTGTCCAGGGACGAGCCCCAGTGGCTCAGCGGGGACACCGTGCCCCGGGAGGACTCACCGAACATGTCTATGGTCTGGAAGATGTGGCATTCCTCCCGCCGGAGGCCCCAGGCGCTGTCACAGACCTGGAGGTACGCCACGGCCACGTGCCCGGCCGCAGGACACGGCCAACGGGGTCCCGCGATGGCTGCACATGGGACAGGGAACTGCCCCAGCCAGGGCAGCTCGAGTTCGGGCCCGCTGGGGTGGGAAGGAAAACCACAGCAGGGTCACCAACGCGGCAGGTGGTCGACCCCCGGGCCCTGCCTGCCGGCCCAGGGAAGCCAGTGCCTGCGTGGCTATGGGCACGTGGGCCCCAGAGGCTGTCCTCGTCCCCCGCCAGAGGCCAGCTCTCAGCTCTGCAGGGGTTGCTGGAGAGAGCCGCGGACTGAGCCGCAGGCACGGCCGGGCCGGGCCCGGGCCCGGGCCCGGGGCCAGGCAGACAATGGACTCGGACCCCAGAGCTCTGACCCCGCCCAAAGCACTCCAGGACCCTCGCAGGAGCTCTGCGGCATGCATCGACTGCCCAGGCCGCACCTGGCACCACCAATGCACCTGGCTTGTCGAGGTGGGACAGCCCTCTGGCCACCGTCAGAACCCCTCCTCCACCACAGTCTGCCTCCGCAGCCTCTGTGGAGTGGCCCGGGATTCCCCGAGGACCTGTCCCCGTGCCGCCCACCGAAGGCTGAGTGATGTGGTTGGGTCGTGACTGCGGGCCAGACTCCGGTCAGCCTCCGCGTGGAAAGCGGGACAGCCACCGGGACTGCAGGACGTCCTAGGGGGCCACTGGGTCCGCACGGATCCCGGGACGGCCTCCCCAGGGGTGGGGGCAGGCCACAGCCACCTCCGTGTCACTCGCACGCTTGGAGGCCATGCTGCCACCGGGCCCACAGACACACGGGGCCGAGGGGGGCAGTGGGTGTGCGGGCACCACGCGGCCCAGCCCTGGGCCTCCCGGGATAGCGGGGAAGTCTGCCGGGATCCCAGCCCCGGGGCGGGGCCTTCACGGGTCGGGAGACCTACCTGGGCAGGGCAGGACCTAGGGAAGGCCGCTCCTGATCCAGAGCCGTCGGGCCGACTGCAAATGGAATGAGACAGGGGAGGCCCCACTGAGGACTAGGCTTACCCACGCACAGCCTAGATGTGTACATACCCCAGTGTGGTTGTCTTGGTGGCTCAGAAGCTGGCGTTTAGATAGGCACTTAATCTAGATAGTGGCTTTGCTTGCCTGCCAGGGTAGTCTTCGGACCGCCCATCACCCACTACATTTCAGGGTCTCTATTGCGCTCTATACCCCAACTTAGTGTGTTTTTTGTGCCCATCTTTGCCCCGTGCTGCCAACAAGCAACATTCAGCCCTGGCACGCACAATTCTAATGGCAGGCTAGGTGGGATACTTGACTCTCCCTGCCTACCCTGCCAGTCGCTGGGTTGGTGATACCCACAGGACTCCTAGGTGTTTCGAATGGCAGGGCTTCCCTGAATGCTGTGGTCATTGGTAGACGTGTTAAGGCCTCGTATCTCCATAGAGATATCTCTGCAGTATCACTCAAAGGTACTAGAACGTGTGAGTAGTGATATCTGTTGCTCTTTTTTTCAGCACATTTTTCATTAACTGGGTGTCAATTCATCTGACCTCTGCTATTTTGCTGGGAAGTGTCAGCTCCACACTGGGATGTCTTGGGTTTTCTTTTTCTCATGGTTTGTTATGGACAATCAATTCAACTCGATTTCTAACTGCCTCACCACAGTCTTGACCTCAGTGACCACTGGAGTTTTTCACACCCTCTGCTTTTTGGGTTCATTTCATTTGGGCCCTGTGCTCCTGTTTATCTTTTCCTACTCTCCTGTATTCTTCCAGAACTGGTAGCGGTTACAAAGTTTCAGCAGTTTGTGAAGAGATTGCTGCTGAAGGCTCTTAGTCTCATCCATCGTTTTTAGCCAGACTCATTGTGCTGACAAGCCTCTGGCTGGTCGGATACACTGCTGTGGGCACGAGGTGGTATTATCTAATGGGGTGTTTCTGGGGAACCACATGACTCCAACTCTAGTTGCTGTACTATGCTTAGATCCCCAAATTCCACATGTGTTCATGCTGTGTAATCTGGTGTTTCCTACCATGAAGCCATGGGCCCTGCTCCAGCACACAGTGCTCTTGTTACTCAGCTAGGGCTGGTGGCTGCAAGGCAGACCTGTGGCTGTGTACTGGGGAGAACCCTGGGGCTCGAAGCATCACCTTGCCCCAGAGGTACTCACTGCCAAGGCCGGCTTCCCTGAAGAAGCATTCTTCTTGCTGGAGGTTCCAGACACTGGCACAGATCTCATCGTAAGCCACCTCCACAATGTTGTCCATAGGACAGGGCCACCAGGGTCCCACTCTGGGTTTAGGCAGGCCATTGAGAAGCTCCAGCTGGGCCAGCCTGAGACTTGGCCTGCTGGAGTGTGGAGATAAGGCACATTTACAAACATGGGACGTGAGTAGCACCAACTCATGCCCGCCCTCCAAAGCAGTAACAGTGCATCTGTGGCTAGAGGAAAAATGGGCCCCAGCAGGTGTCCCACTCCCTGGTCACAAGGTGACTCTGAGAGGACTGGCGGTGACAAGCTGAAGACTGAGTCACAGGGATAGAGACACATGGGCAGGACATGTCCTCTGGCAAACAGCTGCCTGCCCTGCTAGGGAGCAAAGACCTCTGACACCCTGCATGGCTGCCTCCCCAGTGAAGGAAGCACCAGGAGCCTCACTGAAGCTGTGGGTCACCCCTGAGACCCATTCAGGCATCAACTCCCCAGATATCTTGATGATGACAGATACGCCTGCTGAGGAGGTCTTGTACCCCAGCACTCTGGCTCTCTCACCCCCACTCCTCAGACTGCTCCCTCTGCCTTCTGATGGCTGGCTCTGGGATCTCAATGGATCACTTTTTGTGCCACCCACAGATGGAATGCCCTTGCATGGACAGAAATTGAATGTAGTCCAGAGAGTGGCCCTCTCCTCTTGTGAGCCAGGGAAACTGTGGTGACTTCCAGAATTCCACATAAAGGCCACTTGGTCTGAGTCAACCCTAAGACTATCTCTTGGGCAGTGAGTGGAAGAGGCCATGCGAACCCCTTTGGGCAACTCCATGACAAGATGCAATATTGTCTTCTGAGACAGGAGGACATGGTCCTGTGGGAGTGCCATGGCTCCCTCAGCCTGTTTTGTCTCTCCCAGGATCTACTGTGACACTTCAGGTATCCCTACAGAGTCAAAGTCCACAGGGCTGGCAGACCTACCTGGTATGGGGAGAGTCCACATAAGGCTCCTCCTGGTTCCCAGATGTCTGGTTGACTGTAAATCAAGTCAGATAAGGAAGGACACCTTCAGGAAATGGTCCAACACCACAGCTACCGCCACCAGGACTTCTACTTTTCCATGAGAGACATCTGGGACTTTGGCAACAGCCTCAGAGGCTACAGTGTGTCTCCAGGCCACCATCCCGGCCTGATCATATGTCCTTGGAGCCAGGTGATCCCATTCTCTCCATTGAAACAGGATGTTACCCACATCTCCCGTGGCCTCATTTTCTGGAAACCCTAAGATCATCTGGCCCCCAACAACATCAGCTCCAGCAATAGGCTACCTGGCTGTTGGGTTGAGAACAGCCAAATGCGAATTTGCTCTTCATTGTCTTGGAGACTGAATGGACAGTGAACTCTGTGTACTGCTACTGGGTGGAAGTGTGAGTTCTACAGAGCCTCTGGTCCACCAGGATCTCTGTGGCCACCCAGAGAGTGTAGGGCATTAGTGGCTCCAGTCAGACCTAATGCCCAAGATGGAACACTGAGGGCATGGCATAGTGTTCTAGAGAACTCGGGAGCTCAGTCAACTTCATCAGGGAAGAGAAAGGCCACATGGTTTGCTAGGCTGAAATCCAGAGGTAGCTGCAAAATGCAGGGGGCTGTGGCTGTCAGGGAGTGTTACCAGGGTGTGAATATCCCACAGGAGATGGCCATAGTGTTACTTCTACTGTGAAACAGATTATTTGACACTCTACAGACAAGGAGATTGAAATCCACAAAAGATCTGTCACACGTGTGGTGAAAACACGCTGAGGAGCAGCCGAGACTTTCCACTCTTGCACTGTGGCTTTTGTTCCCTCTCACAAGCTGCCTCCAGTCACATCCTCTCTCCTGTGTTTTGAAACTGGAGGGAATACAGTAACTCTTCCCTCCATACCCACCCTCCCACCACACCTTCTCTGGCGGTGATAGAGCTTGAGATTGAGTCACAGGGATAGAGACACATGGGCAGGACATGTGCTCTGGCAAACGGTTGCCTGCCCTGCTAGGGAGCAAGACCTCTGACACCGTGCATGGCTGCCTCCCTGGTGAAGGAAGCATCAGGAGCCTCACTGAAGCTCCCACCCCACCTTCTCCCTCTCCTATTCCCGTTCCCCAAAAGGTTTCTCTGGGGGAAAAAAAAGAAAATCCCAGATCTGGGTTTAGAAAAGTCTGTATATACTATCAATTCAACAGTAAATTTCTCTCTCTCCCGCCCATCCCCATAACTCTGCCTATAAAATAAAAATCAATCTTATAAAAGGTAAGTGTATTTCAATGGAAATAAATGGAAATCCAAGCATAAAAAAAGAAAGCTAGAGGATGCGGCCTCCTGCTTCAAGGCCAATTGCATCAGGGAGGAGATCTCTGCAGCCCTGGGACCTTCAAGCTCTGCATTTCCCACTCTTTGTTCCTACACAAGTACCCTGACCAAAAATGGCCGCAAATGTTTAGAGAACTGTTTACAGAATTGTTTACACAAACGTACAGACTGTTGGTAAATGTTCTTTGAAGAAGTGTGGAGTCGGATGCCAACTTGAGACCATCTTAAGTCTCAGAGCCTTGGCCACCTTACCTGTGCTGAGTTTGGCAACAAGGTGCTCTGTCAGCTTGAGCAGCTCAGTGAGTAGTTGCCGGCTCTGGCAGCTGTCAGGGTCCTGCAGGGTGAGGAGGGCCTGGAGATTTTGATGAATGAGCTGAGAAAGAGCTCTCCCTTCCTGTAACTTCTGCTGTAATTGGGTCAGCTCTTGGGCCTGCTCTTGAATTTGAACACCACATTTCCTAAGGTGTGACAGGAGAGAAAATGTCAAGGTGGAAATGGCCCCATGGTGTGTTCTGTGTCTCTGCAGAGATTTGGTGAGACTGTGCTCACAGGGCCCTCTAAGCAGCATCACTGCCTGTGTGGGAAAATGCCCACAGTAGGGAAGAGGAAAAGATGGAGCAAGAGATTCCTCTTTAGTAGAGAGACAGACCTTGCGAGATTACTAGACACTGGGCTGATTTTTTGGTTCTCTAAACAACACCACGGTTCTTCCTCAGCTCCCTCACCAACATGTTCCTTAAATTCCTCACTCCAGCCACAGACCTTTCCTTATAAAAATGCAGTGTGCAGCGAGTGGACACAAAGGTAGACACAGAAACATGCCAGGCACAATGGCTTTCAGTAGAAATAACGACTGACAGGGAGAATCTAGGACAGCATCCACGGTCATGAGGTGATGGAGACACAGTTAATGAGGAGAGGATCCTACAGCACTGTGTGGATATAAAACGTCTCTGTGTGGTTCGCTTTCTTCAATTTTGTATGTGAATTTCAAGTCAATAAGTGCCTCGTTTTTCAAGTCAAAAAGAGGTTCTAAATAGCCACTGCAGCCTACAATTTGGTGATTTCTCTGTTGTCTGCCTGCTTTATAAAGCTGAGGGGTCAGCCCACCATGTAAATCCCTGCCCTTCTCCTGGCCACATCAGTTCTTGGTTCCCCAGCTGAGCTGCCCCACTTGAGAGATGCATTCACCTTTCCACCTGCCCACCCGAGAGAGCCCCCTTACTTGAGATTCTCCGCAGGTAGCAGCTCCTCTGCCAGCTGCCCCTCCAGGAAGTGCGGCTTCTCCCTCAGCATTGATTCAATGAGATCTTCATACTCTTCACAATCTGAGGAAAGACACGCACACACATATACCTGCCTCAGTGGAAAGGTGAGCGGGCTGCTAAGGTCACTGTCTGTCAGGAAGTGGAGCTACACCATCAAGCTCTTGGTGTGAATTTCCTCCTCTTTGTTTCTTTAGCTCCCAGGGACAGGACACTTATAATCTCCATTTTATTTATATTTGTTCAGGGATTTAAAAAAAGCTTTATATATTTTTTTGGAAAGCCAGAGTTACACAGAGAGAAGGAGAAGCAGATAGACAGAGAGAGAGGTCTTTCAATCTTTGGCCGATCCAAAGCCAGGAGCCAGGAGCCTCTTCCGGGTCTCCCACATGGGTGCAGGGGCCCAAGGCCTTGGGCCGTCTTCTACTGCTTTCTCAGGCCACAGCAGAGAGCTGGATTGGAAGTGGAGCAGCCAGGTCTTGAATCGGCACCCATAGGGGATGCCGGCACTGCAGGCTTTACCCACTATACTACAGTGCCGGCCCCTCAGGGAATTTTTTCTAATCCCTTCTTTTTTTTAAATATTAATATTTTATTTCTTATTTTTTCAGTTAACTTTTTTTTAAAGATTTACTCATTTATTTGAAAGGCAGAGTTATAGAGATTCAGAGGCAGGGAGAGAGAGCTAAGTCTTCCATCTACTGGCTCACTCCACAAATGGCCACAATGGCTGGAGCTGTGCCAACCTGAGGCCAGGAGCTAGGTTCTTCCCCAGGTCTCCCACACAGGCGCAGGGTTCCAAGCTCTTGGGCCATCTTAGACTACTTTCCCAGGCCATAGCAGAGAGCTGGATCAGAAGTGGAGCAGCCAGATTCAAACCAACACCTGCAGGTGGTGGCTTTACCTGCTATGCCACAGCGCTGGCCCCATATAATGTATTTTTCATTTATACTACTACCAAAGGCTTAATGGCTCTACTTAATAAACAGTTCAAGAAATAAAGTATAAGTGGACCATAATCCAGCCAGAGAATAGACAAGAGTTATATACAATAATCAAATCAAAAGATGCTCATCTTCACTTATGTTAAGTAACTCTAAAGTAGTCACAGAAACACCAAAGCTATAGTAGTATATAATTCCCACCAATTTATTGGATAAAGATTTAAAATAACATTTGAGAAAATACTACATTGGCAGCAAATGAGCGAAGAAGAGTTCAAATGCACCTGAAGGGACTTGGCAAAGTGACTCAGCTGGAGCGGGACAGTGTCAGAATTCCCACCCTACAGCTCAGTGAAAATGTGGAAAATTGGCTGAACTTGTGCCTCAGTTATTCCTGCACAACCAACTGATGCTGCAACTACTAACGCTAATCCTTCTCAGAGCATGGTAGCTATGTAACTTATTTGGTAGAGAGAAGAGAAGGATCAAGGTTAGCAAACAGGTCATTTCTCCAAGAGGTGACATCAAATACTCATCATTTCGGTGACACTGAACCTATAGAACTTATTGTGGAATGGGAACATGAATAATGCTGTGCCTCCCATTCAATCTATATTAACAAATTTCTCTATTTTATTTATATTTCTTTTTTAGAAATAAAACATTAAACACAGGGAAAAAGAACGAACTTACTGTGGTCCTGCAGGTGCTTTGCCAGGAGGTAGGCCTTAGCCTCAGCTCTAAGAAGCTTCTCCTTCAGTTCTTTTGATTCTCGTTGGCTCTTTGCCAGTTGAGAGCTTAATTGCTCACTGGTTTCTACCCTCACGTCAAGTGAGGGACCGAGAGTCAGTGCCATATCGATGCTTGTAGCAAAATGAGTATATCCAGGGACTAGGAAGAAGACACCCAAGAAAAAGAGGAGTTAAAGAAAATGAAACCTCTTTCAGTAGGACTGATAGATGAGGATAATTGTAGATAACTGTACCTCCCAACTTACTGTTAGGAAACACCCCACAACACTTTAACGCCTTTAATCTCGATTCAGTCAGGTGCCAGAGCTCAGAGCATAAGCTCCTGCTTATTGCTCAACATCTGACAGAGTGAGAGAAGTAGGGCTTCACTTCCAGGTAACTTGGCAGTTACTGTCACAGAATCAAAACACCGGGGGTGTCATGGAATCTTGGGAGCCACTGCCTTCCAGTTGCCTAGGCCACCTGGCTGATGCACAAGCCTGATTGGTCCTTTTAAAGTCTTAAGGGGACCACCTCTGAAAGTCTTAAGGGGACCACCTCTTAATGTCTTAAGGGGACCACCCACTCAACACAGCCTCCACAGTTGTGTACCCCTGGCTGAAACCACAGTCCTACCTTTTCCCAAAAGTGTCTAAGCATATTTCTCATTCCTCTGTTCTAAAAGATTAAGGCAGGACTCATTTCCTAACAATTTTTACTTTAAGGGTTGTCATAAAGTCACTCCAACTTTTCTTTATGTCAAAAGAGACCACAAGGCTTTTCCACCACTGAGAGATGTTGAATTATAAACTGCCATGATGTTCTTCTCAGACTCTTCAGCTTCTTAGACCCAATAATCTGTTAGGAACAAAAGCACAGCAAAACACTAAGCCAAGGGTTCACTTTTAAATGTTTTGTATCCCATCTCAGTAGACTTTCTGTTGCACTCAAGGGTTGTGCTGGCTTTGCCCTGACAGGGGCAGCACATGGGCATTTCATTCAACTGAAAGCCAGTTAGATGCCCTTACATCCTCAGTGTCTTCCTCTAAGTGGGCCTGCCCTGTTTCACCATCACTTGACGGACACTTTACACTTGACACTTACGGGTTTCATTCGAGCCCCACAAGAGCCTTTTCAAGATATCAACTGACACAAATAGTTGATGTGAACCCCCACCCCCCAATACACAGTGAACATCCATGTGGGAAAACTTGCAAATCTGATGGTATTCTTTTCATATTTGCATTCAGTTTATCTACATATTGAACAGGATCCATCTGCAGTTTTTATGTAACATTGCCTGATAAATTTTCTTATTGGCTAAGTCCTATTGAATGGTAGCTGAATTCCACTAATGAGGCTGGTCCTGAACCCCTCAGCATCTTCCCACTCTAATGTGTAGATATCAGTTTCTGAGATGAATCAAAGGTATGAAGAAATTCATTTCAGCTGTCTCTGATCTTCATATTCTATGGCAGAAATAATTATTCATCAAATTCTTAATCTTAAAAATCATAAACTAAAGCATCACAAGATTACATGTCCTACTTTACATTGTACAGGGGTGGATTTAGGGTAGTGTTAATAAAAACAAAGTAACAGTGACAACTTCTTGGTGAATTTATACCCAGCATTTGGCAAAGCACTGTACAAATGACAACATTTCACTTTCATCACAATCCTTGAGATGATCATGAAAGTGCAATGTCCCAAAGAAGAGGGACAGGAAATGACTCCTCTGGCCATATTTAAAGGAACATGTTCTCTGGTTCTGGCAGAGTGGCCAGTGAATAAGGGAGCAGCACTTATTACAGCATCATTTTCCAGGGCATATATGTGCCTCATGGGCTACTAGGACCAAAATATGGAGGCATCTGCAAGCTTTCTTTCCTATATGCAACACAACTCCTATCATCGAGGATTTCAGATTCTTTGAGATGTCCAAGAGAAGTATGAGATTAGGGTCTTTGACTGATGTAATTTGCATCTGCTATTTAATATCCGTGATTCTCTCTAAGGCTCTTGCCTGGTGTGTGACATTCCTTTCTGCTAAGAACACCACTGTAATCTTGGGGTCTTGGCTACTATATAGGCCAACATATCTGAGACACTCATGTCACCACTTCTGTGTGGGGTCTGGGGCATGCTAAAATTGTACACATCCAGTCTGGAATTTCCCTGAGGTTCAAGTGACACACATTCATCCACAGGGCATGACATTGGCAGATGAAAACAGTCTATGGCTTCATCTTTGTATTAACTGAAGTCCCGCAGTCTAGAGACCAGGTTTTCTCAAGGTAGGAGATCAGCATTGAACTACAGAAGGGAACGTCTGAGCAAGATTTCATGCCCTCCACACTCAAATATCAAATAGAATAAGACACAGCACCACACTATGTCTGCTGGTCACATGTAAGAATTGGAAACAGACACCTTAGAGCACAGATCCTAAGTGAAATGTTCACCTTCTACATGCAATGCACCTCTACTTACCATATACGTACGTGTAAAGCTTCACGGCCACAATGTTGTATCTGAAATTATGAAAGTCAAATGTATTTTCAAAGACAGATCTTCTTGGTCTTTAGCAAGGCAATAGGATGTAAATACCACATAAGCCATGCAGTACTTGTACTTCACTGCATCAGAGCCAGAACATTTAGCCAAACACATAATGTCGGCAAGGAAATATGTGAACATTCTCACAATGCAGGTAAATAAAGACAATGCATAGTCTCTCGCCTCTTCTATAAGGTTTTGTCACTGAATGAGAATATGAAATATCTTTCAACATCTTATTAGAGCTTAGAACTAAAAATGAGATTATGGAGGTTTAGGGGTCATAGTTTGAAATGAATACAGGGAGGATGATATGGAAGGGAATATGGTTTGGGATGAAGGTGTTTCAGAGAACAACCCCAGTGTACCAAGATACTATACCCTTTTTCTTTCCTAAAACTCAATTCTCATTGTCATTTATTCTTTTTAGAAACATTGTTGATTCTGTTCGTTCCCCTTATTCTACCAATAGCATATTATCGTCCACTTTTCTCTCCTAAGGTCCAGAATAACACTAGACTCATTCAATAGGCTTCTGGATTCTAATGTCTTCCAACCTCGTGGATCAGCTAAGTTTCAGGTTAACTTGCCAGAGATGGTAAATCATTTCTAAGGAAGTACGAAGACTGAACAAAACTCTGCTGCTCAGAATCCATCTTTGATGACTCCAAGGCGCTCATTTGGGTTAGTGATACATCTCCTAACTATGTTCCCCTTCTGCTTCACTACAACCCATTCTCTCTCCCTTGGGCATATTTGGCTTAGAGGAACTGCCTTTTGAGTTTTTATTATCTGTATGTTCTTCCTCTATACATGAATGAGGTTACTTTAAAGTTTCCTTCTATCTATTTAAATTCCTTTGTAAACTTAATTTGAAAAATCAAGAGAAAGCAATAACATAATGAAAACAAAATGTGTGCTTTTTATTTAATCTCCAAAACAACTAAAAAAAAGTTTGAAATAAATGTGGAGGTGTTTCCAGTACCATGACAACTGTGTTGGATTTCTAATTCCAATGACGTAGATTCTTCCATCCATTTTGTGATGTTCATAACTGTATTAGTAACAACTGATGTTACTAACCTGGTTAACAGGTACTACCAAACTTTTAAGGATGAACTAACAGCAATTTATCTGAAATGATTCAAAGCAATGTAGAGCAAGGGAATCCTTCCTAACAAGTTCTCCATGAGGTCAGAATTCCCTTTATTTCAAAACTGGACAATGACAAAGCATCACCACAAAAATGAAAACTATAGGCCAACATCTCTCATGAACACAGATGCAAAAATTCTCAATAAACTGCTAGAAAACTGACTGCAGCACCGTATTTAAAAAGATCACTGTGCCAAACAAGTGAGATTCATCCCAGGGATGTGAGGATGGTTCAACACAGAAATCATACATATCACATATTACCTCAATGGAACAAAAGATTAAAGTTATATGATCATCTCAGTAGATAATGAAAAAGCATTTGCCACATTCAATATCCATTCAAAATAAAAGCCCTGAATTAATTTGATTTTGAAGGAACATACTTCAACATAATAAAGGTAGTAAGTGACAAACCCACAGTCAATGTCATAGCGAATGGAAATGTTGGAAAAATCTCAGCTAAGATTTGGAACCAGATGAGGTTGTCTACCGTCACCACTCTTATCCAACATAGTACAAGAAGTTTCTGTCAGAGCAATTGTGCAAGAGAAACAAAAGGCATACAAATAGGAAAGGAGAAGTTAAAACATCTCCATTTGTAGATGACATGAGTCTCTATGTAGAAAAGCCTAACATCTACATCAAAGACTGTTAGAATAGGCAAACTACTTCAGTGAAGCTGCAGGATAAAAAAGCAACAACCAACAAGTAGAAGTTTGATATGAAAATAATAAGAGCAATGACTTCAAAAAGAACAAATTACCTTGGATAAATTGAAATAAGAATGTAAAAGATCTCTACAAGGAAAATTAGAAAATCTGAATCAAAGAAATTATAGAAGAAACAAATAATGGAGAACCACTACTGTTCATAGTTGGGAGAATTGGTATTTTTAACTTATTTATACTACTCAAACCAATTTGCAGACTCAATTGAATACCATCAAGATATAAATGACATTCTCACAGAACTAGAAAAATAATTCTAAAGTTCTGACTTTCAAACAACAATGAATAAATCTAAAAAAAGAAAAAGAAAGAAAGAAAAGTGTGGGGCTACCACACAGCCATCCCTTGTTCTCATCACAGAATATCTCATGAAGGAGGCAATAGAACTCAACTTCTGGGGTCTTTCCAGACTAAACAAATAATCATTTGTAACTGACAGGCACCACACCTGGTTCCTGAGGTTTCTAATGACCTCGCTGGCACTCTAAATCTGATGTTAAGATGTCCCTTTGCAGAGCAGAGATGATTTCTGATTTTCTACTTGACTGGAGCTCTTCTTGCTCCCTTAGCTGGCTTTCCAAGGGCTTTTTCCCAGGGCAGTGGCCTGTGCTGAGCCCAGATGCACAGAGCATGGCCTTTCCATGAGGACCAATGTCCTGAGGGTATCATGCTCCTCACCCTCTGAAAACAAATATACCTTCTTAAGAAAAAGTTGAATATGGTGCCAGCACTGTGACATAGTGGGTAATCCTCTGCATGCAGTGCTGGCATCCCATATGGGCACTAGTTCGAGTCCTGTCTGCTCCACTTCTTCTCCAGCTCTCTATTATGGCCTGGGAAAGCAGTTGAAGATGACCCAAGGGCTCAGGTCCCTGCACCCATGTGGGAGACCCAGAAGAAGCTCCCAACGCCCAGATTTGCATCAGCACAGCTCTGGCCGTGGTGGCCATCTGAGGAGTGAACCAGCAGATGGAAGACCTCTTTCTCTCCCTCTCCTCTCTCTGCATAACTGTGACTTTCAAGTAAATCTAAATCTTATAAAAAAGAAAATGTTGAATATTCTGCAGTGACTTCTATACTTGGGTGAAGGCAGGTTTGTCACAAGGACAATAATGACTAGAGGCAAAGTTGAAGCTGTACTGTTTTCAGCCCTGGCACTGTATCAGGCCTTAAGATGCAGTGCTTCTTAGCTTTTCAACAGCCCTGCAAGTTAGGTGCAGTTGCCTGCTTTTACTGATGGTGAGACCTACACTCAGGGAGAGGTAAGCTGGCTTATTCTAGGTCACTCAGACTAGCAAAGACAGATCCAGAATTCAAATCCTACAATGTCCTGTGTCTTTTCCACACAGGTCCATGTATCTCAAGTATGACAGTGACATGGGCCTTCTATACCAAGGATGGGCACAGGAGCTGTGGGACAAGAAATTCTTTCATTCTGAAAGCATGATGCTCTTAACATATTACTATGATTTAACAGTGTTTTGGGGGGAGGGCAGATGCCATTTTCCAGCAGGTTAAACAACAACTTGGGAAGGCCACATCCCATATCAGAGTCCTTGTTCCAGTCATGGCCACTCTGCTTTTGATCCAGATCCCTGTCAAAATATCTGGGGAGCAGTGGATGATACTTCAAGTACTTGGGCCCCTTCCACCCACATCTGGACCAGACCAAAGCCAGGAACCAAGAACTCCATCTCTCTCTCTCTCTTCCCCTCCATCGCTACATCTCCAATACTCTGTCAAATAAAGACATAAATCTTTAAATAGTGTTGAATCTACATATTTGGAAAAGCAGAAATAGTAGAACAGGACTTCAAAGAACTGCATCAGTGTCCATACACCAAGGTGAACACTCCCCCTCCACCGTGGACTCAAGTCATATGTCTGTCACAGCACTTCCCATGCCTTTTGGCAGTTTCTTGTTTTCCAGGTGGAGCTCCTGGAGAGCTGGGGTAACATTTCATTCAACTCTGCATCAACAGCACATAACAGCACCAGTAACAGCTAGGTAGGAGCACTCAGTAACCATGTGCTCAGAGGCTGAAAAGAGAAGACATCATCTCATAGGCATTCTGTCCCAGTGGCCTCTCAAATCCTCTGCCTTCTCCATTTTGAAAAAATCCTCAGCAAAGTTCATTTCTGTAGGGGAATCCTGACAACTCCTTCAGAGTGTCTGAGGAGAAAATCCATGTGTTGAGCAGTGATAAATGTGGCAGGGATAAGGAAGCAATGTCACCACACACTGCTCGTCTGGGCTGCATCCAAAACCAGTGCATCCCAACACTCAGCAGTTGTCACACCCCACTGGAACTGTCTGGTTTGGGGCCATCTTTCCTCACTCCCTTGGACACTTCCAGGGCATAGATCAGGCTTTATTGCCTGTTGCCAATGCCTAGGGCATTACTTGCAAAACTCAGGAGAAAATGTTGTGAAAACCTTTCTAAAGGCTGAAGATGTGCTGAAGATTAGTATCACCACTGCTTTGGTGCAAGGGAACCTTTCTTTTGTATCTCCTGACCTAAAAGGAGGAACTGTGTAGGTAATGACTGGCATCCCCAGCCCACCTCCAAGTGTTTCCATCCATCCATGCCCACATTTACCTGATGGGCATCGCTGGAAGGGCAGTTCCAGGGTCAAGGCTCTGGGGTCTGGAGTAAGGCCTCCTGTGCACATCCCCTCTTCTTGGCATAGGTCTTCCTTGGGAGAACAAAGCAGGGCTGCATTCCTTCTGTCGATCTCCTTGTTCAGATACTCAAGGAGTTCTGGATAAGGGCACTATCTCATTCCTTGCTGCTCAGTACCAGTTGCTATTTAGGGAGGGTGATGATGCTGTGCACATTCTTTGCTTTTCTCTGGACCTTCCCGAACTCAGCCTGAAGGTACACTCATTCAGACCCACTTTTGTGACCCCAGGATCTACTGTCACCTCATTCTTCTCTTTGTCTTCTTGGATCTCCCACCCACCAGGCACTGCATCTCCTATTATGCTCTTTTTGTTCTGCATTCTCAGGCCAAAGGTTCAGCGAGATGCTCCTGAAGGAAACATAATCAGGGTTGGGTATGCTCTTGACCACAGTTGTTACTGATCTCTATTACAGACATCTTATTCCATAATTGACTCAGACACACCCCAGAGCATGAAGTGACCTCACAGACCTACAACAGCTTCCTTATTTTCAGGAAGACAATCAAGGCTCAGGAAGGATTAGACTTGCCTATATCTCCACAGTTACTTGGATACAGCACCACAATTAAAAACCTTGGTCTCAAAACATCCTGAGTCTCAGAACCTCTTGTGTTCAAGGTGGCCTTTGAAAGAAAAGCAAAATTTCCTTACACCATTATGGAAAAGAAATGAGGACCATGACAATAGGAAACGTGTTATTGTGGGTTCTACAGCTATGTGAATTACCACCAGCCAGTTTTAAGTCAGTAGATGATAAACTGGGACCTGGGAACACAGGACAAAACAATCACACTCATCAGAATTTTAAATTGTAAGCATAATGCACTTAACTTATTATTTGTTCAAGTTTCGCTCATGTGATAGGAGGCAGCCTTCATGAGAGCAAGAACTGTTGTCTGTCGGGGTCACAGAGTATGCCCAGTGACTTCACAGGTGCCTGCATAGAAACATTCACAGGTGTTGAAATAAGATGGACTAAAACAATTTTCTGAACTGACAACTCACTCGGAACTCACAACTCCAGAGAGTAAATGGGCAAAAGTGGGGAGAGGGGGCAGGAAGCAGAAGGAAGAAATAGAAGCAGTAAAACAATGTGCAGATCCGAGGGAAAGTGGAATAAGGATATGGGCTAGAGAGGCGGCTGAGAAGCTCAGGGAGGGCAGAGATCTGACTGAGAAGTGGCTTATTTAAAAACTTACTTTGTCATTCCAGGTCCCCATCAGCTGCCAGACGCACCAGATCTCAGAAGGGAATGGCAGAACCTGGCACCAATGTCACTGCTGCTGGCTCTTCCACGTGCGGCCTCTTCCTCAACATTGTCAGTGAACTTGCTGCTCTCATCTTCAGTGTCATCCCCGTGGCTGCGCCTGGAAGGCAGTTCAGAAGACAAAGGGGATTCCCTTCACAGATGGCTTCCAGACAGAAGGGCAAATTACACTCCCATCTGCCTCCTCATAGGCTTGGCCCCCGCGAGCCAGGCTGGCAAGGAAGGCAGAACTCAACCTTCTCCTTTGGCATGGATTCTGTGTACACAGAAGCCTACGCTTCAAAATATAAGATGGCTTTGACTGCACACATCTGTAATTAAGTTGCCAGCCTCCAGATAAAGTGGCTACCTTCTTCCTCATTTCAAGTCAGCCTGACTTCTTCCCATTCCTGCCACTGTCCTGTTAGGCAACAACCTTCCCTTCTTTAACATGTGAAAGGGACTACCATTTTCCCCAGCACTGAGTTATGAGAAGGCCCTTCCTTTCTTGGGGCTTAGGAGATCCCTGTTCCTCTCATACTTTCCCACTGTAGGAATCAGTTGTGCATAGGGTAACAATCTGTATAAGGAACTTCCCTCTTGTAGTCCTGTGTGATCCAGAGCTCCAGGAACAGTCAAGATCAAAGGAACAGAACGGTTCACACGTTTCTTTATCCTTTTCCCAACATCCCCGCCTTCCCATATTTCTCAAACCCTTGACCAATATAACCATCCTTTGCCTTAGAGGTTTCTTGCACTGATTTGTCCTCAAGGGATTTTTCATCCATTCTTTCATTCCCCAAAGATGGGCCCAGTCCCCCTAGGCCCAAAACACCTGTAGTCTTTCCAAGGATAGGGAGCCTTTGGTCCTGGCAAAGCTCCAGGGCAGTGCTGAGTGGCAGAAGGAAGCTTGTAAAACAGACACCAGGCATCGGTGGCTCCTGAACACCTGAAATGTGGCCATGTGACTGAGAATCTGCATTTCTTGTTTTATTTTATTGAAGTTATTTCATATTTAAATACTCACATGTGGCTGGTGGCTACCATATTGGACAGCACAAATCTGCGCTCTTTCTTCCTTTTTACATCAGTTAAAATTTGTCCAATTTGAGATCAAGAACTGTTGTTCAGGCCGGTGCCATGGCTCACTTAGCTAATTCTCCGCCTGCGGTGCCAGCACACTAGGTTCTAGTCCCAGTTGGGGCACTGGATTCTGTCCTGGTTGCTCCTCCTCCAGTCCAGCTCTCTGCTGTGGCCCGGGAAGGCAGTGGAGGATGGCCCAAGTCCTTGGGCCCCTGCACCCGCATGGGAGACCAGGAGGAAGCACCTGAATCCTGGCTTCACTTTGGCGCAGTGTGCCGGCTGCAGCAGCCATTTGGAGGGTGAACCAATGGAAGGAAGACCTCTCTTTCTTACTCTCTCTCTCTCTAACTCTGTCAAAAATAAAGAACTGTTGTTCACATTACTGATTCATTCTGAAAGCAGAGGTATTAATTATGTTAATTCATGAGACACCAAAGAAAATATCTTATGACTGCCTCTGTGTCTTCCAGAATCTGTGCAACTTACAGAATCTCCAGATCTGATTGTGATCCTGGCCTCAACAGCTACCTCATTAAACTCCTCTCCTTAGCACTGCATAAGTAGGTCTCAAAGAGATTAGGTGACTTGTTCAAGGTGACCCAGGAATCCCTGACAAGGGCGATGCCAAGAAGTCAAGTCTCTGGGCTCTATGACAGACGTGGCTGTTTCTTCTGGTGACAGATGCAATCTTTACCTTTGCTTCTTCTAAGGCCAAGGCACCTGCCCTTGAGCAGACATCTGTGAATTGAAGGGCTCTCATGACAATGTACAGCCACCCTTGGCACATGAGGTGACCTGGAGCAGTTCATGTCTCCACTCCAGGTTTTGGTACCTGCAGGTTTACACGAGTATTTTCAATGACCCTGGCTGATTCCATCAAGAACTAAGAGGAAGTCAGCATGCTGTTCCAACAACTTGTGTTAAAACTCACCCTGGGAGTCTGTGTTGTGTTGTATCATGTAAAGCTGCCATATGGGTGCCACTGCCAGTTCCTGTCCTGGTTCCTCTACTCTTATTTTTTGTAATATTTATTTGTTTGAAAGCGTCACAGAGAAAGGAGAACAGACAGAAAGAGGGAGAGAGGGAGAGAGGCAGAGAGGGAGAGAGGCAGAGAGAAAATCTTCCATCCTCTGGTTTACTCCCCAAATGGCACAATGGCCACTTCTTGGCCAGGCCCATAACCAGGAACCGGAGCTTCATCTACAATTCTCACATGGGTGAAAGGACCCAAGCACTTGGGCCATGTTCCACTGCTTTCCTGGGTACATTAGCGGGGAGCTGGATTGGAAGTGGAACAGCTTGGACTTGAACCAGCACCCATATGGGATATCAGCATCACAGGTGGCTGGCTGCTTTACTCTCTATGCCTCAATGCTGGCTTTGCACAACTTCTGATCCAGTTCCCTGTTAGTGACCTGGGAAAACCAACAGAGGATGATCCAAGCACTTGGGCCCCTGATACTCATGGGGCAGTCCTGGATGAAACTGCTGGCTCTTGACTTCAGCTTGGCCCAGTCCTGGCCTTTATGGTCATCTGGGGAGTAGGCCAGCAGATGGAAGATCTGTATCTCCATCTCTTGCTCTGTAACCCTGACTTTCAAATCAATAAATAAACCTTAAAAAAATCCTCACCCTGGGTAAGAAGTGGGGGTGACAGAGAAAATAACCCAACCCACCAACTTCAGAGAATTATTTTAGAAACCGGCACTTTGGAGGAAAGCCTAACTGTGTATATGCATATGAGAGCGTGCTTTAAAATGTGAAAAATGAGGCTGGTACCGAAGCTCACTAGGCTAATCCTCCACCTTGCGGCGCTGGCACACCGGGTTCTAGTCCCAGTCGGGGCGCTGGATTCTGTCCTGGCTGTCCCTCTTCCAGGCCAGCTCTCTGCTGTGGCCAGGGAGTGCAGTGGAGGATGGCCCAAGTGCTCGGGCCCTGCACCCCACGGGAGACCAGGATGAGTACCTGGCTCCTGCCATCGGATCAGCGCGGTGCGCCGGCCACAACGCGCCGGCCGCAGCGACCATTGGATGGTGAACCAACGGCGAAGGAAGACCTTTCTCTGTCTGTCTTTCTCACTGTCCAGTCTGTCAAAAACAAAATGAAAATAAAGATTGTTTGGAGGGAAAATTCAAATCTATGAAGAGATTTTTTCATAACATACATTTTCCTATTAATGACTCCTATTTAGGTGCATAAAAATTTTTGTTCCAAAATAAACTCTTAATTTATTTGAGAAGTTGAGAGACAGATAGCTCCTGTCCACTGTTTTACAGCTCAAATGCTCACAACATTTCCACAGCATTGAGCTGGGAATTCATTCCAGGCCTCACCCCTTGAATGGTAGGAACCCAATTACTTGAACCATCACCAATGTTTTCCCTCTGTATTAACAGAGGAGTCAGGAGTCAGGAGTTAGAGATGCGTATAAAAACCAAGTACTCCAATATGGGGTGCAGGCTTCTCTACTGGCCTCCTAACATATAGGCCAAATGCCCTCCTGTATACTGCTTATATCTGAATTCTATTTTCCATTAACTTTGTTGAAATACCCATGTTTATCCCATATTCTTTTTTTTTAACTTTTATTTAATGAATATAACTTTCCAAAGTACAACTTCTGGATTATAGTGGCTTTCCCCATATTCTTATAATGTGTCTTTCTTTGAACTGTCCCCAAATACATGCAAAGATGTTATATGATCAGGGCAACAACTGAATTACCTGCAACTCTGAGATTGCTCTTTACTAAAACAACACATTGGGACACCTCAATGAAACGGCACCAGTATCCTCACAGAAGCCTGTCTCTTAATGGGCTCTGAAGGGAAGAATAGAACAAACTGAAGGATACCTACGATAGGGCTGGCACTGTGCCACAGCAGATAAGGCCAACACCTGAACCTCCAGCATCCCACATGGGCACCAGTTCGAGTCCTGTCTGTTCCATTTCTGATCCGGCTCTCTGCTGTGGTCTGGAAAAGCAGTGCAAGATGGCCCAGGTCCTTGGGCCCTTGCACCTGCGTGGAAAACCCGTAGGAAGCTCCCGGCTCTGGATCAGTGCAGCTCCAGCCATTGTGGCCATCTGGGGAGTGAACTAGCAGATGGAAGACTTCTCTCTCTGTCTGCCTCTGCCTCTCTGTAACTCTGCCTTTAGAATAAATAAATAAATCTTTAAAAATATATCTATGATAAAGTAAAGTACTCTGAACACTGCCTAACTCATAACTGTTCTGTCTACGTGAGCATAAACCATTGCTAGTAATCCGCACACTATGCTCTAAGCTCACAGGAACTTCCTCTTGCCCTCTGATCACCTTATGGGACACCCCCATAGGCTAAGTCTGCTCCCACAGAGCCCATCTGAATTAACCTCAGTCCTTCTGTGGAAGGTATTGTGTCTCTCAGCATTCACACTGAAGCTTTAATCCCATTATCTTAGCATTTGGAGATGGTAATTTTGGAAAGAGATATGATTTCGATGAATTTATGAAGGTAGGTTCTTCATAATGGGATTAGTACACCTGAAAGTTTGCTCTTGTTTCTCACTCTCCCCCCCGCCCCAGGTGAAGACGCAGAAAGATGGTAGTCTTCTGTGACCCTGAAATGAGCCCTCACTATACTATCCACCTATATTGGTGCCCTGACCTCAGACTCCTGGCCTCCAGAACTGTGACAGAAATAATCTCTATTCTTTCTGCCATCCAGTCTATGATGTTTTATTACAGTAGCCAGAGCTGACCACAACATCTCAGTGCTGAGGCTGCCACAAGTTGTTCTTCCATTTCTGAGCACAGAGATTTTGCATAAAGTTCATGAATTAAAAGGATTTCGGAGTGAACCCCCACTCAATCAACTATCAACTGAATTCAATTCTTGATCTCTATTTAATCTCTGAGTTCATCTATTTTCCTCCTGGATGATCACACCTGTTTGCAGGACAAGACAGGAAAATGACAACCCCAAAATGCAGAAGTTATGACGTGACAGCTCAATGCCTGGATCAGAGCAGGAGAATCTACTCCATGCCCTTAATTC